GTTTTACAGCAAGTTTTAAAAGCGAAGAAAGAAGACGTTTTTGAATCATCTACAACGAAAATTTGGCATGAAAGGAAAGCGAATGTATTGACGTTTTGGGCCAAGTTCTTCTGTGAACCATGCGCGAGATTTTCAGCCAAAAAGATGAGGATTTCTCCAAACTTTATTAAAAATAGAAGTCGGAAATCACAAGAAAGATGAACACGGAACTCAAGTGAGCAGATACGATATTTTTAAGGGTATTTTTGAGTAGAAATATGCGATCAAACACTCACAAAATTCGACTGCATTAATGTTGGTTGAATCTAGTTTAAAGTTATCTTTTTAGACGAACTGTTTATGCAAATTTGGGCACAATTTCGACTGTTTTCGTAACCCCATTGTTGGTCTTCTTGTTCAAGTTGTTATTTTAGCTAAAGTATGTTTCAAACGACACCAGGTTAAATTACTGTGTGCGTACGTGCCCTTTTTGGCAAGAATACTTCGAGTATTAAATTACACTAAGTAAGTAGGACACTCCAAAATCACTGTTATATCTATTTTCATCAATTTAGTCTTAAAACGACAACTCGTTTCAGATATATTGTGGTTTAAAATAAGTGTATTGAATTAGTGTGCTTGCTTGCCGCGTGCGAATTTTCAAAAAGTCTGCACTTGAGTTCTAAAGCTTTTAAAACGCTTTTTCTTTTGGGTTTTATATCCCCATAAAATTTTAAATCGATAAAGCAGATGATAATGTTGATGCAACCTCATTTTCTAGTAAATACACGTTGAATCAGAAGGAAATGTTATCAAAAATAGGTCGCGACCGTTGCTTGCAAAATGCCGCTTCTCTCTGAAATGGCTTCCTTTGCGGGAAGCCATGAAATTGAAGTCCTAACAAAAACATAGTTTAGCAGTTCTTTTGGGCCCATAGCTCACTTATTTATCATGAAATCGCTTCACTAGAACATTTTTAATAATGTCTATGGGAAACTTTGTTATATTCTGAACTAAAAGTTTATGGTTTTGAGGTGTTTATTTTATAAAATAGCACGCGCGGCAAAATGGCACTAATGTGGTTTCTCATGTCTGACAAACAACCAAAGATGAAAGTCCTTATTTCACCCTTTTATAGCTATGTGGAATACCTGAATATTAGGTTATCTTTTTCATTTGAGCATACAGATAACATTTCTACACAATTAGTCCTTATGAAGGCTTATTTCAAACTAAAAAAAGCGATTGTTTTTTTAGAGCCAGACTTCAAAAGAAAACGCGTGTCTGACATTTTATAGCAGCCTACATTGGTGCGCAAAATAATTTTGGCTAAAAACCGTTTCTTTCCAAACAGAAACATGAGAAAATTGAGCTAAAAGGCTTACCTGATGTATGTTTAAAATGTTTTTCTCTTTATGGTGTTTTTCAGTGCTTTGAGTAGAGAAGTGAATAACTTTTGGTTTTGTCACCGTAATTTGCCTTTGAAAATGTCGGCTGTCATTGTCTGTGTTAAAAACACCTCAGAAAATTCCTATTTTCTCACCTTCCCATCCTTGGTTTATATTGAAAATAAATAAATTCTAGTACCATATGTCCTTTTAAACATATTTGAGGTAATTAAAAACTCCAAAGATGAACAAGCACTGTGTTTTGGCTTGCACATTTTGTTGAATTTGAACACTTAATTACTGTTCTAAATTTCATGTTGTAAATATCTTGCCCAAAAAAAGCAAATGAGTATTTTTTATAATTTTTGATCGTTTTCTAATTCATATCCCAAAAGATGAAAATTGGTTATAATATAGATATGTATTAATTTAGTAAATGATTTTTTTTTTGGTTTTTATATAAATTTATGGAGATATTGCCCCTTTAGGTGATGAGTGACATGCAAAACAAAGTGTCACTGCTTTACAAATAAAAATTCTCATTGAAAAAACTAATGATATATGTAGGTATGCAAAGTCATTTAAACTAAATTTGGTCAATCATATATCACTAATGTTTGGTTGAAAAGATCAGATTTTTTTATGCAACTGTTTCTGAGATATTGCCATTTTGGTGAAAGCTCTTGAATTCAATCACAAATTCACCATATTGCTTGTGCCTTAGGCGGGTAGAAACATTGCAACAGCTTGCCGCTTAATGAGTTAAGGTGGTGCTATTTTAAACCTGCATTCAGATTGGGCTCACGTGTGGAAAATCGCTTGAAGAGGGACGGGTAGGTGAGTAAATGCGTGCCGCATGATTTTAATGGTGGCAAATGTGCCCGAACTTTGATGCTTCGTAACAAAATAACTATGGCACTTCAGGCTTCGAAAATACACTCATTTTGTAGACTGAGATCTACTTTGTTTTTAAAGATTAATTTTAAAACGATATGTTTGCTTTCTTTTGCATAATAACACGCTGAAGGTACCATATATGAGAAAATATTAACCGGAAATTGAAGCTGTTCCAAAGCGTAACCGACTTCCGGTTGCGATCCCTAATAATGGGAGTTTTTGCTTGACAACCTGCCTAAAGCCTGATTCACAATTAGTGATTTTGTTGATCATGATTTTCTCATCCTGACAGATTCAAATGAGTGGGCTTGCACACAATCGGTTTTCACAAGTATATGCTTCCATGGCTTTTGCATGTTACTCATCTAGTCGTCACCCCCCAGCAGAAGAAATATTTGCTGACAAAAAATTTGCTGACAAAATTATATACAGGCATCATTTATTACATGTAATATTATTTCACATTGTAACTTTATCACAAATTAAATAATTAATATGTACTAGATAAAACATGAGCAGCCGATCTGTATCTGATATAAATATTGATTTCTTTTTTATTTTCCTCGTGTATTATTAATGATTTTACAAACATTGATTAAACATTCATTTCTTTTTTATATTCCTTGTGAATTATTAATGAATTTTTTAAATACTATATACTGAATCGACAGGACAAATAAAAGATTGCTAATATTTTGCTGTAATATATTATTCTATCACAATCAATTTACATATACACACATTGCATACAAGTTGTAAATATTAGAATTTAGATTCAATCTCACCTTGCAGGTATTATATTTAGCAAAACCCTTGTAGGCGCAGGCTATCGAAACGTCTTTTTGAGAGTTTAACTCATTAAGTCTTATTGTGCCCTGGAATTGGGAATGGGGTAAGTCTCATTGTACCCTCATGCGCCCTGGATGACACGTTAACTTCCAGGCATGATTATCTAGCGCGTATTTATCGAGTTGCCTAGCAATGGTCATGAGTATGAAGTGCAAAATTCGGGCTTTCAAACAATATGTCATGCGAGAAAATTGATCAAAAGGTTGCGAAGATTTTCGATTTTAAAACTTTATTTTTTTACAAAACCTGTTACAACCACAAAGTGTCACAAGATGAGACTTTGCAGCAAGTTTTAAGGATGAAAAAGAAGAGATTTTTAAAGCGTTTTACATATAAAGTATGCTGTAAAACATAAGGGAGTGTGCATATGTTTCAAGTCAAGTTCTTGTCCAAATCAAATCAATTTTTAGCCAGAAAAACAGCAATTTCTTTCAATCTAACAGAAAAGTGAAGTGGGAAATCGCAAGAAATTGACCACATATATCTTGGAAGCCCCACATCTCACATGTAGCCACGAAAATATCTAAATCAATAGGTATTATATATAAGGCAAGTTTTTGTCTCT